AAAGTGTGGTTTCTTACATTTGCTTTGTATGTACGTAATTTACTTGGCAAGTCAACCATTCTTGTAGATACCCAAAAAAACTCTTTGGAAAGCAACAGAAGATGTTAAATACATGAAAAATTCTTCTAGTTAGCTCTTACTTTTTACTCAGTGGCATTACTTGTAATGGCATTAACTTTAGACCACTAAGAACATACCTGTGAAACTGTCTGTAAAAAAAGAGGTGATGTTGACAGAAAACATTTTCACTTCCACAAAGAAGAGGAAAGCAACACAACCTGGATTTATATTTCAGGAGAGCTGTTAGTAACACAGGGAGCGAAATCTGTACATTTTCACAAAATACAGTCTTGAAGCTTGGGGTGTCCTTGTTAGTTCCAATGCTTTTCAACAGTTATGTTGTATATTGCGGCCACTACTGTAAAAGTAGTGAAAATATTTTATTACTCTAGGGTTTTTTTTGCTAAAACTGTATTAGAATATTTATAGAAAGGATAAACAATGAAAATCTTGAAGAATGGTTTACTTAACACAGCTTTACACTGCTGTGTAAAAAGAATAATTGTGTAGTTTACACATATACCATGTAAATTACTATGGAACCCAGATGTAGGTTACACTACAAGGTGCTTTGTAACTCATCTCTGCTGAGCAATAAATCCCCCCCCCTTTTCTTCTTGGCAAAACTTTGAGAAACTTTACTGCTGTTTTCTATCAGCAGATAGAACAGATGGCTGGCACATGCCTGCTTTACTAAGAAAGTGGGATCTCCACAGTATTACTTTGATCCCTGGTGGCATGTCTACAACACAGAGATGCAAAATACCACAGCTGAGCAGAATCTAAATATTAAAGGTTTGGTGCTGTGCTCTTGATATGAGAACTCCTGTCTAAAAATCATGCTCACAATATGTAAACATCTTCACATTCCACATGGAAATTTTGGTATAGAGCTCAGAAAACAAAGTATTTCCCCTGTCTGGTGATGGGAAACCAGAGTGAAGGTACTACTGTAAATCCCAAGAGCGCGAGTTTATGCAATTACTTTGACCAAATTTTGAGAACAGCCATACTTTTGCTGGGGAAAAAAACCTTAAATTTTGCATATAAGACATTTTTTAAACTGAAAAGCATCACTGCAATCACTGGGTATGAATAAGATATTTACAAAAAGTTCAGCAGTTTCTTTGAAGAAAAGTTTCCTTTGAACAATTACATGTTCTGAAATTCAGTATTTTTTCATTTCTTTCAGTTCATCAGGGAAATAGCCATGTTTGAAGGGAGCACCCTATTGCATCACTAATGCCTTAAAACTGGTGATCTGTTGGCTTTTCTATGGGCAGGAAACAAATATTCTCCTGGCATAGCTGGATATTCCATTTTACCTTCGCGGTCAGGCTACACCTCAGCCATATAAGCCAATTCCAGAAAACTCAACTGAGCTATTCAGTGTAGATGGTTACATTGCTGAGGTCAGAATTAGCCTCCAGGAGCTGTTAATTATATAGCATTCCTAACCTTCACTTTACAATATAGAAACAATACTAAAAAATGCACTGATGACATATATCCCCTTTTTCTGAGAGCTGGGCATCTTTTTTTTTTACTCAAGGTTATCAATTATTCTTTGAGAGTTATTTCAGATGCCACATCATGGACATGCATTCAACCATGCACCAGGAGAGGAGCTGTGGGGTACTCATAACAGTGGGGAGTGGGAAGTGAGCTGCTACAATAATTCATTTGACCTCAAATACTTCTCCCATATCTGAAAGGAAGAAAGCAGCATGGGCAGGTTGTGGCCCAGACTGACTGTTTCTGTAGATCAGACCAGTGACTGCTACAGAAAAAAAATTCCAATTTGCTTTTTGGTTTCTTTTTTTACCCCTTGTCTATTAAATCAGCCTGGCTGCTGCTCTGTCACTGAGCACTAATCAACTTTTTTTTTTTTTTTAATATGGTTCTCTCCCACCAGTGCTCACTCACATGTGAACTTCATTGTATTGCTGTCAGAAGTCTCACTGGAAGTTAAGCATACATACTGGGGTTTGTGGATTTGGAGCTTAAATACCTGCCATAAGCTCCTAAATGCTGTAGAGATGATGTTATCACTGCAGTCTTTGGTACCTTCCACTGGTGGGCACAGTGAAACATGCCACAGCATTAGTCAGCATGATAAGGTCTCACTGGAAAGTTTATAAGCTCAATCTTCTGCAGACGACAACATCACCATTTGGAATAAGAGCAAGAAATACACCAGTGAGCTCTAGTGGTTACACAGATGCTTATTGTATACTATATATTAACACTGATTTTTGCTTTTTTAAACCTTTTAAATCAAGGAGCAATCTTTGTAACTGTCAATTTTACCAGATTACTTTTTTTTTTTTCTAAAGAGGATATAACATCTGTAATCTTATGTTGAAATTCATAGGTAAAAGCATAAAGTGCATAAAAACATGACAATCCCATTTTGCAGTATTTTAACCGTCTTGTAACCCTGGCTCATCCTGACTTCACTAGAAAAAAACTATTTTCAGTACCTTCAGACCCTTAAATTTTGGGGTTCCTTTTACATTTTCTAATAATTAATTAGAAGTAACGGACTATGAACTAAAAGCAACTAATGCTTTTCTTTGGTTAATGTTTTCTAGAGAAAATGGTTTTAATTGTTTATCATACAAAATCTTTCTCACATAAAATGTATCCGGGACACAGAGACCACTGTATCAGAAACATAGTATCCAAATGCAGAAGGTTTTTACCACTTCAGTTTACACAGAATACGGGTAAAATCTAGTCCTTAAAATGTGCCTTTGAGCAGACATTTTTGAAATAGAATATTCAGCAATGCAGGACTGAGAAGCATTGCCATTCCCTGGGTTGGTTTTTTACTCACCTAGAACTTGGATCATTATTTGTCCCAGGAGCAGGTAGATGAAATCTACCCACATGATATTTATACCCACTTTTTACAGGTGTAAACAGGGATGCAAGGTGCCCTGTTGGAGATCCCAGGTGTGGTGGGTTGATCTTGTCTAGCTCTCAGACACTCACTCAGCTGCTCTCTCACTCTCCTGATATCTCCTGATATCCTGATATCAGAGATATCTCCTGATATCTTGTTGATATCAGGGCTAGGAACTATGTAATGCCATAGACAGAATCTCCTGTACCTACTCAGAAGTCTATCTATAGATCCAAAAAGGGTCTAGTCATTCCTAAAGGCTACTGAGAGCCACCAAAACCTTGCAACCCCAGAGAAACATCTTCAAATTTCAAGTAGGATACAAGGTTAAGAGGTCTCTAAGGCAGAAGACTCACAGAAGAAATATTTCAGTTTTACCAAACAGGAGGCAACTGTATGTTAGTCAACAGCTGTTTTACAGAAAGCAGGCTAGTACTTCAGCATCTCAAATGTCTTCCTTCTTTCAAAAAGGACTAGTTTCTATTTCTTTTCCTTCTTTCTTTCTTGTTCCTCTTTCCCCTTTTCCCTTCTTTTCCTCTTCTTCTCTTCTCTCCTCCTCTCCCCTCATTTACACTTCCCATTTCCTCTTCCCTGACTTAAAAAATTTCCATAAAAAAGTATAGGTAATAAAGGTAGCAAGTATTTAGCACTTTCCTGGATGTGTCAATGGAAACTTTTAAGAACGTGTATACTTAAAACCAAAATAGAACATTGGGGAAAAAAAAGTAAAACTGTACTCATTTCTTCCTCTCATAAAATATTGGAAATTCTGGAGAAATATAATGTTAATTTAACCATTTAGGTATTTCACTTAGTAATTATGTTCTGTCTATGAGGAATTCAGTAATTCAGAAAATAGGAAGAGGACTAATGGGTTAAACAGCTTTGCTACTGCTCAGAAGGTATTTTGTCCTGCAAGTTGCATTAAGCAGAACATTTGCCTATACTGTCTTTAAGCCTCTGAGTCTTCTCACAAACATCAGTGTTAGAACCATCTTTTTCTAATGACCTACATGTAGGCAGCAAAGGAGGGACAGGAGAGCACAAGAAAGAAATACAAGAGAAGAAGAACAGGGTTCAGTCTAACACCTTGATTGCCCTTTCCATAAAGAGCTAGTTTTATCATGAACATCAGCTGAAGCTGGCAGAGAAATGGAGCAGGAAATACAGTCCCAAAAAACACTCATTATTTCTAGGTACCTAAATGCCAACCCTTGGCGTATAAAGTTGTTTTCTCTGTAAAGCTGGATAGGAACGCCAAAGACCTTGAGCAAGTCATTTAGCCTTTGTGAGCAAGTTTTGTCTCTCCACATTCCCCCCCCTCTCTACAGGAGGCGAAGAAACATTTCCTAAACTCAGAGGCTTTGTGAGGACAGCAAAAATTGCAAGGCCTCGGACAACACTTCAGACAATGCCAAACAAATTCTGTAGCTAGAAAGAGTATTTTCAAACAACCAAAACCACAACCAAATTTGTGAAACTGCAATTAGCTGAATTATACAACCAATTTTCACTGAGTAATTAGATGTAAATATTGCTTAATCACTAACAAGTTCTTTACTGTATAAAATCAATGCTCAGCATTGTAAACACGAATTAATTTTATCCATGGCTTTTATGTCACCATGATTTTTTCTGTATCCATGATAATGTATGCTAACAAGTTTCAGCTTTATGCAAATTCAACATATGTTGTCAGTGTGTCAAATCATGCATATGTTTCTTCATGAAAGTATGTCACAAATTCTTACTTTTTCAACAAAAGAATCCAAAGGGACTCAATACACGGCAGATTCACATGGTTTTGGAATTTAACTTGATAAAATGAAGTCTACAGAAGAGAATTATTATTTACCAGAACTACAAATTAAGCCTCCACATTTAGCACAGAGAGCAATGAATAACCTCTAGTGTATGTCCATAAGCCAAAGAAAGTCGAAAGAAAACTGCATCCCCGTAACTACAGTCCGATATGAAATTTTATGACAAGTACAGGCAACTGGGGTCTTCCAGGTGAACTCTGGCTCACGCGTCACCAGCCTGCAGGTTCTCCAGGGCCCGAGACACCCGGCTCTCCCACGCACCTTACAACCCCATATCCAGCGCACTTTCCCAGCCATCCGGTCGGTTTCTCGCTGCTCCCCGAGCCCGCCCGCGCCCCGGCGCCCCGCTGGGATGGAGGCGATGCCCAGCGGGGCCGGCGAGGGGCACGACGGCCCGCACCCAGGGCCGTCCCGGCACGCTTCGGAGGGGGTTTCCGCCACTATTCCAAGGCCGAAACACCTGCCCGGCTTTACAGAGCCGCCCCCACCCCTTGCCGCGGCCCCATCTCGACACCTACCCGTCCTGTTGCCTGCCAGGTGAAGTTCATGGCGTGGATGCCGACGGGGATGGCGGGCATCCTCTGCTGGGCTTTCCTGAAGTCGTGGGTGAACGGGGCCATCTTCCCTTCGGACACGATCAGAATATCCTCCTCGAAGCCTGCGGAAGGCAAAGGGGCGCGATGGCCGGCAGCCCCGCCGGGCCGGGCTCCGCTCTGGGCTCCCGCCCGCCGCTCGGAGGAAGCGGCCCCACTTACCGATGAGGACCCGCGCTTGCTGGGCGTCGATCCACATGTAGAGGGTGTCGGGCTGCCGCGGCGCGGCCCGCAGGCTGCAGAGGCTGAGTGCGCCGCAGAGCAGCGCGGCACAGCACAGCCGCCCCGCCGGGGCCATGCTCCCGCACCGCCCGCCCGGGGCTCGCCGGCTGCCGCTCCGGCCGCGCCCGTCCTCCCTCCCTCCGTCTGCCGCGGGGCGGCCCCGGCGGGGCGGGCACGGGGAGGGCGGCGCCGCAGGCAGCGAACAGCGCGGGCCCCGCACACCCCTGCCCCCGCCACGGACCGCGGGGCTGTCAGCGCTCCGCTCCCGGGGCTGCTGGTGGCCGCCCACTCCCGCAAGGAGTGCCGAGTGCTGGAACAGCGTGCGTGACCCACGCCACATCTGTCACAGGAGACCTGTGACACGGCGTCCCGCCCCTCTCCCCGTGTTGACCCTCCCCGCAGGGGCACCCCGGCCGTCAAGGTGGCACCACCACGGCCACAAATGCGTCGCTGGAGATACTCGTGTCTTCGTGAAGAAACGAAGTTTGTGCAGAGCCGCCCCCTGGCACACGTGCGGTCTGAGTCGGGGGCTGGGCGGCATCACCGAGACGGCAGCAGGGTGCAGTGGGGTAGGGCCTCCCAGCGGGGTCCCGCGAAAGTGGGCGAGGCGCCCACCCGCGCTGTTAGGTGAGGCCCTAGGGCGAGCCACCAGCCGGACAGTGCCACAGGAACAGCGCTGCCCAGCCCCGGGGAACGGCGGGGAGAATGTGCTAAAGAGAGGAAAGGCTTTCACCTGCCGTTTGTCCCAAGGTCTCGAGAACAGTGGAGACTGAAAAGCACTAAAATGTTGCCGTTTACAGAGAAACTGGAACTGGTTCAATATAGAAACTTAGTAAAATTGAAAGAATTTTCTATTCAAAAAGTTAGTTAAACAGAATCATGCCTTTTAAAGAAATAAAAAATATTGTTTCTAATTTTTCCGGATTCTTCCATAAGAAAAAGGGGTTTTATTAACAACAACAACCAAAACAAAACAAAACAAAACAAAACAAAAGTGGAAACTAACCAGGATAGATAAAGTTTGAGTAAAACCCCCAACTTTCTGTCTGTAATGTTCTGCCCGGAGCTTGAGGGTATTTTCTGCCTGTGATTAGTGCACTAGATGCTACTGGTGCTGCACCTCATCCTGTAAGCGTAAGTGCCAAAGTTAACTGCCGGGAATGGAATTCTTCATGTGATGGAAAACAACATGAAGTTGGTCTTGCTTTTCCAGGCGGATCTAATCAAACAGCGTTCTTTATAGCAGCTTACACACAGGAAAGAGGTACTGAGCTGTATTATTGTTTTTCTTTTTCCTGTTTGAAGGGCAAAGGTAAATTGATAACAGTAAATTGATAATGGCATCTCATTCTGAGGAATCTTCTGCCACTGTCAATGGATCACTTCAGTAATCCCATAGCACTGTTCCTGTCCTGAAATAATACAAATGTGTACCAGAGAAAACCACACATAGTGACTTGTTGTGTGTAGGTGTGTACATATATATATAGGTATACATTCAGAAATACCTGGTGATTGTGAAGCACAGTGTTAAAACATCTCCACATGTTTCATACACAAGTACGTGTAAGGCACCTGTGTAAAGCACTTTCCAACACTTTTACTCCCAGCTTCACTGCATTTTATGGGTGGGAACCTGGGACATGGGTAGTGTCTTGTACAAGGCTACCTGAGGAACATATTTGTGGGTGAAAGTGGCTGGAATAGAGTTCTCCTAAGTCCTCTGGCAGATCCCTGGTAACTTGCCCAGCCAGAAAATCTTAAGCTCCAAAAGCTGGAGTCAGTGTATGTACTCTAACAGAAATGCCCCACCTCTAGATGCTTGTTAGAGAGCGGTGACAATTTACAATTTTTTAGTTATTTTGTAGTGTGACCAGCAGGTCAAGGGAGGTGATTCTCCTCTCCTTCTCTGCTCTTGTGAGACTCCACCTGGAGCACTGCATTCAGTTCTGAGGTCCCTAACATTAGAAGGACGTGGACCGGTTGGACTGAATCCAGAGTAGGGCCACACGGATGATCATAGGGCTGGAGCACCTCTTCTCTGAAGATGGGCTGAGATAGTTGGGGTTGTTCAGCCTGGAGAAGGCTCCAGGGAGGCGTTATAGCAGCCCTCCAGTACCTAAAGGGAACCTAGAAGAGAGGTGGAGAGGGAATTTCTACAAGGGCCTGTAGTGATATGAGAAGGGAGAATGGCTTTAAACTGAAAGTGGGTAGGTTTAGATTAGGTATTAGGAAGAAATTCTTTACTGTAAGGGTGGTGAGGCACTGGAACAGGTTGCCCAAAGAAGTTGTGGATGCCCCATCCCTGGAAGTGTTCGAGGCCAGGCTGGATGGGGCTTTGAATAACCTGGTCTAGTCAAAGATGTGTTGGAACTAGATGATCATTTAAGGTCCCTTCCAGCCCAAAACATTCTATGGTTCTATGTTTCTATGATTATCATTTATTTTGTGTTAAATATTTTTTTATCTCGCACTCTCCGCTGTGGCTCCTCTGACTGACTGCATTCGGAGAAGAGCTGTAGGCGAGGTGTCCCGCGTCCCGCCCTCTGGGAGCGCCAGGCCGGTGCTTTCCCGATTCCCGGGACCCCGGGACACTGCCGGTGCGAGGCCGCCCTCTGCCGGCTGCCGCAGCCCCTGCAGGCCCCGCTCCAGCAGCGTGATGGGGACCCTATCCCGCGGGATGAGCTGTCAGGGACCTCCCTGAACGACCTGATAAACATCTGATCTGAGAGATTCGCTTTCAGCGGATGTTCAGAAAAAACCCCAAAGCTGTATCCCCTCCATCTCAGATAGAGGTTTGAGATACGTGTCAGAAAACAGCTAATAATTATTTTGGAAATTTACTACTAAGGGATTTCATTTTAAAAGGCAGAAAAATATTTTGGTTTTAAGAATCAAATATGATTAAATCTTCTTAGTTTCAAAATATATAAGCAATTTTAATTTTGCAATAAAAAAGAAATGCAGAGAGGAAAAACAATGTCTGAAACATAAAGCTTTCAGGAAGAGGTTAAAATAGGACCTCAGTATAGGTAAGAATTTTTTATATTCTAACACAATGATTTACATGCTTATTTATCTCTCATAGGGGCTTTCTTAAGATCCAGCAAAAGAAGATAATTTAATCATCAGTTAATAATCCTGGAAAATATTTCCAAAACTGTGATGGTATGATTTAAACACTCCTCAGTCAACAGTGCAGTAGAAATGAGCTTACTTTCTGCAGAAATTAGTTGGTATGTTGTGACTGAAAGACTGCTCAGTGGGTATGTGTTTGTCCTGGCAGACTATTCTAGCCCATAGACACCCCTGTATGTGTTTGAACACCATGTGTCTCTCTTTCTCTCCTCCAACATCTACCAAAACTTAGGTGAGTCCTGTGTTAGTGCTGAGACTGACCTGTTGTAATGCAGTGTTTGTTCTCCCCAGTTTCTCTCTTTTATAGTATTGTAGCACAATGAGATTCATTGAGGATAAAGTTTGCCAAACTTTTGTTCATCCTGCCTGCTTGCATTCAATGTGGAGATCTAGGTAAAAGCTTGCTGTATTTTTTCCTGATCTCTTATTTAAATGTCTCTTTGTCCTAACTTAAATGACACAATTCAGGGAAGAATGGTCAAGAGAGAGGATTGGAATATATTCAGGAAAGCAAATATTTTGTGGTTTTATGTTCAATGAAATGGAAAACATACATGAAAACAGAACTATGTTGTGAGTGTGGCTTCACTAACTTTCATAGCAATGCATATATAGTGCATTTGTGGCCTACTGTGACATTCATTGCAACTGACAGCATCCCCCTGATGACAGCCTTGGAATGAATTAATGAATGGATGGTTTGAATGATGATACATCCAGGGGAGGATATGGAAATCAGTGCCTGATGCCCTTTGATCATCAGTTATGAGTAATATAAAAAGATGGAGAAAAAGGCATAAATAATAACAGTACTGGACATAAATATGGCCTGAGGTGATAATTTTCATTCCAAAGGTTATAGATGCTGCTTCACCTCAAGTCTACAGAAATAACAAATACATATTTTATCAGTTTGTTTTTATGTGGTGAACACCAGTAGATAATAACTAACACCTGCACAATTTAAATAAAGAAGATGACAAATTGCCGCAGGATTTTCAGAAGTGCTCAGTCTTCACTGTGTTTATTCATTGAAGTGAAGCACAAAATTCCTACCAGTTTCAGCAGAAACAAAGCTTATGCATTGGGAATTAGATCCCTTTAAATTTTTCCTGCTTAGGCCAAAACAACTGGCATTAAGCACTGGCAGGAAAAAAAACCCAAATAAAATCATAGAACTAGTTTTATTAGAAAAATCAGTTTTTTCTGAAATTGGAATACATTGAATTTTCTGAGATTTCAAATAGGAAATTAAAGACTCAACCGTTAATTTTTCTGAATATAATATACCAGTGATTTATTTTAGAACATACGCTTTATCGTAGTTTTAAAAACTATGTTAAAGCAACACTGAAGGTTGTAACATTACCTTCTCTAGAAACAGAAGTCTCCTATTTTATATCACGTATGATACAGTTCATTATCTGTTCTGTTTCTTTTCCTACAATATTCCTGGCTCATCCATTGGAGAGCACAGAATTAGTCTGGCTTTGAACCAGTCTGGGTACTGAAGAAGACAATTATTTTTCAAGCCGTTGTCTCATTTGTTGCTGTAGTTGAAAAGTGTAGCAAATGAAAGCTTGCAGAAGTAAAAATTACCACATTGCTAAAGAAGTTAGACTTCTAACTTCTGTCTAACTTGCCATTCTGGGGATGAAGAGTAAATCTTCTCCCAGTTTTAAATTGCCTTATTTTATTTTTCATGAGCATTCCCTTGATCTGCAGACTAAGGAAACTGTTATCCTCCTTCACTACTTGGTGCTCTAAATATTATCAGGATTTGAGTTGTTTGTCCCTTGCCTACTGGGAACATCTTTGCTTTCCCTTTATATCAGATCTCTTCCCTGTTCCTGGTCATTCTTCTTTGCTTTCTCTGGCTATTCATTACCTCAGCAATACTCTTTTTGGAGATATGTTGGCAAATACTGTTCACAAGGCCACACCATTCATTTTTCTTGAGAACACAGTTTTATTTTTTAGCTTGTTTTCCTATGAAAATGACATCTATACATTGTTCACAGTGAACTGATTAGTTAATTTCTACCATTTTTGACAGATTAGTCTCAAACCATATTTAATATTTTAAGTAGTTAGTAGTAGACCAGAAAAAAAGAGACATGTCCTGTCTGTGTTATATTCTACATATAATATAATTACTTTTCCCTAGATGTGCCCAAACACAGGGGGAACTTGAGTCGATGATTAGACCTTCT